TGTCACAGAGCTGGAAGATGATCCCATGACAAAGCAGAGGAGCCAAAATGCCTTGGCTGTCATTCTGAAGGAAACTTTTTCCAGACTCAGAATGAACTGGAGTCTTTTATGCCCTTCCCCCTGGTTCATGCTAATGAGAGGCAGCCTTAGGGGAAACAGGAATCACTCACTGGACAGACCACTGGAGCAAGACCAAGCTGCAGCAGCCCCAGCTAGCCTCCCTCTGCCACCGCCTAGGAGGAGCATGTGCCGAGCCCCCCACGAGGGCCGAGCTCACCTGAACATCCACGGGGCACGTCCACGCCTGCCAGACAAGCACAGCATCCCCAAACTCCCGCTCTGGATACAGGTTTCTAGCCATTAGCCTTGGGGACTTGTTTTCCTGCGGGAGAAAACAGGGCAGAACAAATAAAGCCATTCTTGGGAGCGGTACAAGGACCGGCACAGAAATGCAGCGTGCAGAAGGCAGGGTGTGCCAGGGCACCAGGACAGGGCACGGGTACACGGTGGCTATCGTGGGTGCACAGTTTTCAAGGCTGGCTAGCGTTCTTGTGATGCCTTCAAACCTTCTTTTCAAGGAGACTTTTTGCAATGTTGTTTTTCATCCTGAGAAATATAGCCATCGTTTCTTCTCAAGAGAATAGTCTGCTGCTCCCTCGGGTAGTTTCAATTTATTTTTTCAATTTTTCAACCCAGGCTCAGGAATATGAATACACGTGCAAACCCCAATGGCTTTGGCTCAGTGGGTATAACTCCACTCGCTGAGATTAATTTAATCCCGTAGGTTTATTCTTGTATTGGGTTGGCTCTTCTTTTTTCATGCCGCTGTTTTCAAAAAAAGCTGCTTGGTGAGGTTGCTTCCTCCCACTATTTGATGGCGGATGGCAGGAGGGTGAATCAGTTAATTGATGCCCGCACGGTGCACTGAACGCAAAGCATTGTAAAATGCCAGGTGTGATAGGGAAGATCCCGTGGGCTGGGTGCCGAAACACATCTTTCCAGCCAGAGGAAGACAAACCATGTGGAGCCCTCCATCAAAAAGCCAGGCGCAGCACTGGGGCTGGCCCTTTGTTTCAGGCTAAGTGGCTTAGTGAGGACGCTCGCTGTTCCAATTAATCAATGCATGCGGTCGCTCCGGTGCTCCTGCCACAAGGCTCTGTAGCGAGACACTGCTCAAGCCCGAGCACATGCGGGAGGGTCCTGCGGTCTTAGGGCTGGGTCTTGCCCTCAGTGGCAAATCTTGAAATAAAACAAAGTTTTCAGACGTCTCTTTATGGCTCATTGCTATGGCCAACATGGAAATGTTCTTCCTTTTAAATGAGTTGTGTATCACGGATATCGCTCGTGTTTGAATGATTGTATCTGTGAAATGAAGGATTTCAACAGAATCTCCCTGGATGCAAAGCGTTTTGTTTTTTTAAAGCAGCTGAGCATGGTTTTTTTGGGTGTGTTTTTTTTATTATCAACATATTTAAGTTATTTAAACTTCTCTACTAGTAAATAAATGATCTGGCTTAGAGTCCAAAAGCGCGAGAGAAGAAAGCGCAGGCTGGGTTGCATAGACGACTGGAGGGAGGGTAGGGTGCGGTGCTGTGACTTATAACAACGTTTCTTTTTTGTACGTGATTTATATCCAAGTCTCAGTGGATTGTATGTGGGGTCCTTAGAGAAAACTGTATACAGTCGTAACCCCCAGCTGTGTAACGCAGCCCGTGTTCCTATATAGCCAGGTTGGGATGTTTCCCCGCAATCTCACTCTCTTTGGGGTATCCATCGTAACAGTGGAGGAATGGTGGTACCTTTGTGCTGAGCAACAGGCCTACAACAAGACGCCGCGTTTGTCCTGGGATAACCATTTTTATACCGGGACAAAGTACAATCGTTCACGTGCCCGTGTCTTGTCCTGGCATAATTTCTTTAAAAAAAAAACATGAACTGTTATCTTCGGTGACTCAACGGTAGAAACGCAGCGGTGTGTCCGGCTGCTCCCTGACCCTGGCTCGAAGCGCCCCGCGTTTCCGCTGGCGAGCGAACAGGGCTGCAGCGTACCCGGGGACAGGTGTGGCACCTGCTCCCAGCCCAGCTGGATGATGACGATGTCTTTCCCATCTAGTAAAGCCTGACTAGCAGTAGAAAAAGCCCTGGGAGAGGACCGGCTGGAGACGTTTAAAGGGACTAAAGCCCTGACAAGCGGGGTCGTTCCCTGCTCCGACCAGAGCAACAAGCCCCCCCCCTGCAC